GTGTCACTGACGCCACGCGCCACGCCCACTTATCAGTGTCCGAAAACCAAACCAGATGTACATGTCGGTACTTCGGCATTTTCGTCTCTGATTTTCACGGCATCTTTCTGTTTCCCCTTTTACACTACTCTCTCACTAAATTCGTTACGGCATATCGCAGAGGGTAGACACTGTAAACCTCCCCACATTATCCATTTACTAAAAACATTTATAACGTAACAACACTAAAAAAAAAAATTCGGCATTGTTGCACACTAGGTCAGCCACCAGCTACTGTATCGCTCTGACCCCACTACGCTAGGGGAGGGAGGGGACCTGTGACTGGGTCATCTTTGGCTTAAAATTGCCCAGTAAATGTTTTCCTGATCTTTGCCCGCCATAATTGGCAAATTTAACTTTATTGTGGATGCAAAAAACACAGTTTGAACAATTGGGCACAAATAGAGAACATACGGAAGCGCTACTTTCTTCCGCGCTACCCGTTCGCTGGACGGTTCGGTTCGGTCTTTTTATAGAGCAATCCGCCGTGAGCCCCTTCGGCCTTACGCGTAGTGCATCACCGCCATGTTCAGAGGGCTCTGGTAGCAGAAGGGACCGTTTCACCTGTAAAGTGGAGGGTGTCAAATTTTGTTTGTTTCAAGTTGGACATTTTCATGTTGTCGGTTTTGTCCATGGTAAGAGCATCATTTATTTTGTCTCCTTTTGTGGTGTGTTTTAGGAAGTAACCTCTCGAATGACTTTCCATCAGCAACAGCCACCTTACGATACTTGAGACTAGCCTACTGACCGAGCTTTTTGCCCGATCGTAGACAACGTATTTCCAGCAATTGGAACATCTAGTAACGTGTCAGTCCTTACCTCTAGAACCCCTCATATTTGTTGCCGTCCTTGTTTACTCTTATTCAGAGCTGAGAAACATTCTGTGCCAGTACCGTAGCTGAGTTCGGGAACTGTTGATTGTGAATACTTGCTACTTAACACGTATTGCAGGACATCATTCCCTTTCTTTTCGATTCTTCACGGGTTTTGTTGCACGACATGTTGCACTCGTACGCTTTGTGTTTACATTATGCGTTTCTGTCATATTTTGAAACATTGGCGATGTGAAGTACATGCCTAGCGCTTTGCAGCATTAGAAGGTGGGTTGGGCAGATTACTTGGGGCAAATTTAATTTATTTTAAGGTCAGTTCACTTTCATTTTCTACTGTGACGTTTAATAAAACAACTTTTGGCCACATGGACTATGACCTCTGTAAAATTATTGTTTTGGTGTGCATGTTAAATAGCTCCTTAGGTTATCTATTCAAAAATTATCCCATTTTCCCCATTCTCTGTTTTTGAAGTCTTATACTGTTACCAATTATTAAATTCATCTTTTGCGCTTAGGAGGTGATATCCTCTTCACTTCTAATAATTACGAAAGCTCAAGTTTTACCAATCTGTGCTATATCCCACTCTTTTCTTCCCTCTCGTCTAGTTTTGGCCATCAGTTTATCGGGCAGTGGACTGAATGCATCTTGCATCATACATTTCAGGACCGCCAAACGCTTTAGCAAACATGACTTCATTCTACAACGGAGTTCCTCATGTAAGTAATCCTTTAAAAGTTTTGTTTATCTTATTTTTTATTTCATGGTCTTATAGTGTCATTGTAATATTGTTTAAAAGTGCAGTCCTTTTTGTAATGGGTCATTATTTTTCCAGTCTTCTAGTGTGAGTGAAATTTCTACTGCTCCACCATCACCTGTATCTTGTGGCACTGGAGCTCCTTCTGCTACTTCACCAGCAAATGCCTCCAGATATGGAGGAGTGGTCGTTCCTAATAGAGTTTTTGTGGGAGGTATAGCATCGAATACAACTGAGACTGAACTTCAAGAGTTGTTTTCACAGTTTGGTAATATTCAAGAAATAAAAATTATCTCTGATAGAGGTGGTGTATGCAAAGGTTATGGGTTTGTAACCTTTGAGACTGAGGAAGAGGCAAAAAAAGTACAACATCAGGTGCGAGACAGACTCAAATTTTATATTGTGTCCTGTATTTATTTTTATATAATCAAGTACATTTTATCTTTTATAATATCAGCCGGACTCTATTGTATTAAAAGAACGTAGGCTTAATATTGCTCCTGCTGTAATGAAACAGGTGAGTTGTCAATGGGAAAAGAAATACCTTTCTCTGGTGTTTAACATTTATTGTTCATTCATTTCTGTTTTTTCATTATCTTGTTTCATTTTATTGCAGCAACCATTTGCTCGATCCTACGATATTGCTCCTTCTCCTCTGCTATATCACAATGGTACAACAACATACACGTATCAAAACGGAATGGCATTCTTTGCTGCCCAGGCAACTCAACCTCAGTATGCCACAAGAGAGGCAGCTTTATATTCTGGTAAGTAATTTATACAGAAAACTTAAGTTTGAGAAATTGACATGCATTTGGTTGAACCTAATGAATTTTCTAACACGCATTTTAATTTTAGCACCATTTGGTGCTAACCAAACAACTCCAAACCCAACATATCCCCAAATTATGTATGCTCCATACACTCCTCCAATGCAATATCTGGCTGCAGGACAACAGTATCAGTACCCTATGCCTGTAAGTATTGCTTGATTTTAAGGAGTAATCTTCAATAAAAGATAATAAACAATTGTACATTTGCGCAATGGTCCCAGTAACTGTATGGTTGCAAGGTAGTTTGATTTGATTAAAATTTAATGGTGAAGAGTGTGGGTAAATTTGAGTTGTACGTGTTCAGAATAGTAGTGAAGGCCACATTCCACTTCAACAAGCACCTCCACAAACACCATCAGAGTATCCTCCTCTTCTGTTGCCGCCCCCACATCAGTTTATGCCTTATATGCTGGTGGATGGTGTGGCTGCTCAGTTCTGAGTTGGCAGCTGTGGTGGCAGGCAGCGCTGCTCCATCCTCAGCAGTCAGGTGGGCGCCTCCTTACGCTCACACTGCCAAGCTATCCTCAGTTTGTTTTAGTTCTTGCTTTGCTCTCTCTTCTAGCTTATTCCTTAATAGCTTAAAAATGGCAGCTTTATTTATATGAAGCATTTTCTCCATTTTTACCATGCACTCTTTGCAACATTTACTCTTCTTCTTTTTTTTTGCCCTGTAGTGATATTGGGAGTGTTCAAAAGTGGTCAATATTTGGTAAAGTAATATTAGCGCCTAGGCTTGATCATTGTACCACTTCTGTGATTCAGTTGTGGGATACAAATGTAAAGTTGGCATTATCTTCAATCATGTCAAAACTGTGTTCTATTTTGATATCTTTTAGTTTCATCACAGCTCGTTCTTTATCACATCTTTTATATCAATTGAACTTTGACACTGAGGTAGACATTTTAATTTACATCTGAAGTATAATTTTTAACTGACCATTTCGCAGTATGTCAGTGTTTCTGTATTTTGCAAAAATTATGAATACATTACTGCATGAGTGATGAAAACTGTAGTTTGGTATATCTTCTCTTATTTGAAAGTTTGCTATCTTTAGTAGTTCGGTATCTGTACTTAGAACTGTCATTTTGTGTTCAGAATTAAGTAGGCTTGAGCAAAACAACAGCTTATTTTTAATAAAATATTTTAAATACTATGCTATTGTACATTGAATCTCCATGTTCAGGTTTGATTCGATTTTCCTAGTAGACTCAGTTATGTTAACAATTTTTTGCTATGGTTTTATTTATAAAGAAGGACTTTGTTTTTTCCTTTCTTTACAGTTTGATTATTTTAAGGCAGTTGGACCAACCTCCCAGTACATTTATGCTCCACCAAGTGCACTTAATGGAGCTCTGAACAATGCCTTGAATGGCCTGGGGGGCTCTAGTCAGAGCCCTTCACCAGGCTATGGCCCACCATCTGCTTCAGGCCCACCTGGAGGTGAACTCTTCTACTCAAATGGCATAAGTCACCCCACTCCACTGCAGCTGCCTCACCAATCAATGTATCCCATGGAACAATCTCCTGCTCATTCAGAGGTAATATATATTTTCTCTATGTTACGGAGCTGTGTTAATGTTATTCTTAGTAACTATACATGTCACCCTTCCATAACGTGAATGTTCTCATAGGTCTGATCAGACTTAACCCAGGAAGTAAGGTAGTGCTGAGCTTAATACAGGGTGGTCGTTGTGCCCCTTCCCATAGCAAACGCGTATATTGATTTGCCCGCTTGCTCGAGCACGGGTGGGTTTGCCTATTGTCTGTAGCCATAGCACCTTATGACTCCATGCGAATAGGCAACCTGCCTGTACCCGTGCATATCGGCTAGTATACTCGTTAACTAGGACAGGGCACAGCATGGTTTTCTAGCATGCTGTATTCCCAAAGTTTTAGATTTTATGGATAAAGGTTTTAGTTCCCTTTTATCAAAGAAACAACATCTTCCAACATTTTTAAATATAAGTAGACATGAGGACATGAGGGGCTAAAGAGGCAAATGCCTGGAAGAAGCTGGGCAGGATATGACTCAACATTACCGTCTGTTCGACCATCTGCCAGACAGAGTTGGCATCCTGCCTTTCCGCCCATTTTTTTTCTATGAGGTTTTTTAACTCTTATTGAAGTTAATGAAAGAAGAATGCCTCAGTCTAGTTTCCCACGCTTCTTTTTATTTGAATAATGCCACCTGTACATTGTATTTACTGAGCTGTACAGTTCTTTCACTTTCAAGCATGTTTTCATGTCGAGGTCACGTTGGGAAAAAAAAGTGGATGTCAAAAAAAGGGTTGATCATAAACATAGATATTTGGATATCTCTGAAGATTGGGTTCGTAAAGGATCTATTACTGTCATTCAATTTGTTTAGGGCATCCAGGACTTTTAAAGTCAATAATTTCCTTCTTTATGGTCAGTTTTTGTAAAGGAATTGTGTGATGAGATCTCACTTTAACCGTTTAGGAATTGTTTTGTCACACACAACAAAAAATATCTTAGCATGGATATCAATCAAAGTTAAGCAATAAATTTGTCCATTATAAAATGGAAATCAGTATTTTGCCTCCATAGTGTCTCACCAGACTTCTGTGGTATTTTGTGAATTGCTTTCTTAAGTAGGTAGCAATTTCCTGCATTATTGTACGGTACATCTTGAATATCAGGTGTAGGATGTAGTTAAATGTAGCATGGAGAGTACACACCTACAAGATGGGCTCAATCTTGACAAATGGGTCCAGTGTTTGCAAACATCAATTACAACTTGCATTCCCTATATCTTTAGATGTGTATATCTGTTAGTCTTTAATGTTTAAAAATAGAATAATGCATGAGGATGTAACTATATCACATCAATTCTTGGCTTTGTGCCACATTTCAAGTCAGATTATTATGGGTTTTTAACTGTTATATTGTATCATGTCTATCTTTATTTTTATTTTGCATAAACTTGGGTCGTTTATGTGTGTACTTGCCACTGTGTAGTTGTTGCCTAGGTAGTTGTCACTGCATGGTTTTATATTCACAAATGCTTACTTCAGTAGACAAAAATGTAGGCACATCATAAAACTACAGTAACAAATTGTGTTGATGTCAGGATTGGAACCCTTCTGAGCAACGGCAAGCTTCTTACACCCCTGTGGTTTCCCTTCGTAAACTACACCAAGAGGGCAGTGTTGAAGAAATGGAGATCACGCGTACTCCATCCAAGAAGTCTTTTCCACCTGGGGGCCCACGTCCCCGTGCACGTCGTCCAGGCCGCCCTGCACCATCTCCGCCCCAGGGCTCAGGGCGAGGACGGGGCGCTCTAGGGGGCACTCTTGCTGGGCAGCGTTCTGCATCATCTCCCCACCTCCCTTCCACTCCCAACTCCTGTCTTCATCGCTCCACTTCTCTGTCCCCTTCCAACCAGGTAACTCCAGCCTACAGCAGCATTCGCCAGCCACCACTTCACCAACAGCACCATCACCAAAGCTTCAATCCACGCCGAGGAGGAGGCACTGCTATGCGTAACACTGGTCCAAGAACGTATATGGTAAGAATGCGTGCAAGTACTCACATATGTTCTCTTGTGATCTGTTTGTGTATTAATTTCAAAATTGACTTTATTTTTTTAGGGTAGTGCAAGGGGTAATCCCCATCACAATAATTCAAATTACACACCGAGCCAAATATTGGGTAGCGTCCCAACCAATGGGCAAAACTCTGTGTCCAAATCTACAAGTTCACCAAAGAATACTGGAGAATCGGTTAATGGAACAAAAACTGCCTTGTCAGCTGGAACCAGTCCACCTCCGAGTGTCAATCACGGCAGTGTTTTGCAGAAGCAGGAAAAAGTTTCAGGAGATCAAGGTGGTGCTGGAGATGCTTCTACTATCCGCCATGCTTTGCCACTATCCCCACCCAACACTCCATTACCTCAAGACACTGGTGCATCTATAACAACAGGGGGAAGTGATGGTGATAGTATGTGCCAAAAAATGAAGACTCTAGCTTTGTGAGTCTGTGGACTCTGTATGTACTTCAGATGTATGAGCTTTCCTTGGAAAAAAGGGCGCATTAGTTTGTGGCTCTATGTTCTCAGTACCTGCTCATGTTCATGAAGTGTCATTAAGAACCGTGGACTAGCTCGATTCCACCTTTGTACAAATTAGAATCAAGCTCCACCTGGAAGCTAGTCTTTTCATCTATTTCCAATTTACATAGCTTGAAGCAAACAAAGGTTTTTTTTTCTATATTTTTTTTATATTGATGGTGGCGTTTTAGTTTTAAGATTATATTACTAATAAGTACCCCTTTAGATTTAACATTACCTTACATTGTGCCATGAAAATTAGTGATCAGGCAACAGAACATTTGAGTGCTACAAACTTTTGTACTTCTGCTTGGAATTTTAATGTTCATACATATGAATGCTGTTTATAGAACTGTTAGAAAAGTAGTAGCTAGTCGAAACTTTGCCAAAAGGCATTCTATATGCATGTGAACAAAGCACTTTATATAAGTGCCTAAAAATATATGTGCAATATTTATTAATTAGAATGACTCATAAACAAATGTTAAGTAGTGGGTTAAGGAGATACCATTGTTCATGTGTTCAGGGTGAGTGATTTGTAGCAAGTAAATACTGCCCTACTTTTTATTCCATCTCGTACACCTGTGAGCATGAAAGAATGACTGTTATAGTGACTTACAAGCATTCTTGCTGTGAAGTTATTTATTTTCGGACTAGTATCTTTGAGACCTTATAGGTAATGGACTGTATAGAATTTCACGTGATGTGCATCACATCATTGTGCGACTGGTGTGAGTTGCTTGAAGTTCAAGCCATCTTAAACTTGTGACAAAGCATGAAGATATGAGTATTGTCTGCTGTTTTTGTTTCTAATTTATGGTCATTTCAATATTCCCATGTTACATGGATTATTTATTCTAGCATAAGTTACTTTAAGAAAATGTTGTTATTATGTACATTTTTGATTGCCTTTTTTAAAAGGCATGCGATGATGTACTTACTGTTGTGCAGTGTTGTCCTTTTAGACAGGGTGGTCCACCGAAGTAAGTCCTCTACGAACATTCTTAAAAGCCTGTGATTATCGATTCATTCCCCATATTTTCTGGAGGCTTAACAAGTTATTGGCAGTAAGTGGTCCCCTGGTCTGGTGCCCTAAGTTTTTATTGGAAAGACTGGGAGGCAAACACACATTGCTCATGACAGTACTGTTATCACAGATTAATGACTACTGCTAATTTTGAAAACTCATTCCAATTCATATGTATGACTTATCATGTGGTCTGATTTCTTCTGAAAAGTACTTTTAAAACCCCCTAAACCCATTTTCTCCAATTATTCCCATTTTGATGCAGGTCATATTCTGTGTTACATTTGATGAGCTTTGTGTGGAAATACAATTGCTCAAAATGATTATTGCCAAATACTTAATAGCTGCAGAACAGAGAAGTAGCTAGTCACATGAAACTGGTGAAATTCACCAGTTTCACTAGAGTATGACTGGGTGTTTGCTTTTTCTAGGAAACTTAAATCAGTTTCGTGAAGGTGCTGAGAAAGATGTGTGATATGATTCTAAAATTAGACATGATGAAACTTACTTGACATCTAGACCTATTCTCGGTTTGAATCATGTATTTTTTTATTGATTCCTGTAAATTTTATATTCATAAGTAATTTAGATGTCTCCCTTAGGCTGTGACAGTAACATCATGAAAATGGAAAAAAAACAACAAAAAAAACTCAAATATTTATGGATGATGTTATGATGTTGAAGTTAGTCAGTATCCAAGAAGTTTTATGACTGTTTCAAAGTGCCTTCAATCAAGATTTTATTTGTGATTCTTAGCTAATTTTAGACAAGAATTATTTGTTGATTATGTAAACATTTTATGAAGATGTAGTTGAGTCCCTCCAGAAACCTATCCACTCTGTTAGTGTCCACAGACTTTGATTTAATTTGCTCAAGCTGTTTTGTGTGGCATTCAGTCAGGGTGGAAGAAATCTTTTTACCTATTCCAATGGAGGAACCTGTACATTCATGGTTTTGAATATGTATGTTAAGACATATCATGCACTGAGTGAAAATGAAAAAGCAAACCAGAACCCTCTGGTTTTTTAAAGAAATAATAAGCAGGTGATTATGTATCATTTAATTGATGTGTAGTGGAATCCCAAGGATAGGATTTCTTTTGATGCTTGAGCCTGAAAAGAAAAGATCTCATTGTGATATGTACTTCACTGCCATTCTGGCTTATTGGAGGTTTTTTTTTTCTGATTTGTAAACTAATTGTGAGGAGCTAATGGGTGTATTTTGGGACAGAATGGGCATTGAACCTGTCCTGACCTCTGCACTGAGTATTGCTGGATTTTGTGAAAGGAAAGGGTAGATACAGATGAGGGTTGACACTTGTGTGACTTTGTACTTTCTTCCTTTGGCAATTAAGTTTTCAAATGAACTTCTGTAAAGTTATCAAATTTTCTGTGGAGTTTTTATCAGCCAGATATTTATCAGCTTTTGAAAAAACTTGTCTAATTACAGAGAGATACTTTTGAGAGAGAAGCATTATCAAAGAGAAAAAAAGTCATTCTAATGTGTCAAACCCCTTTACAAGGTTGTGTCTGTTTACCTTTGTTATGTAGCTCCAATGGCGTCAGAAGGTAGAAACAAAATTCTGGAGGTCATTAACTTTCTGTACATAACATAGTAACTTAGGATTTTAGGTCAACTAATAGTAACAAAAAGTTTAGTCAGGTTTAAAGAAAAATATAGTATACTGTAGAGGTTCTATACTTGAAAGAAGTACTTATGTTAGTTCCCATGAGAAACATTGAATTGCTTAAATGTTCTCTATGTAGAGAATGAAAGTATTGTATGTGTAAGGAAATGTAAATACAACTGACATGGAATGAAATTTGTTGTAATTGATTTGACCAATGCTTTGGGTAGATATGCAGGGACTATGGTACAGTTATGTTAGGAGACATTTGTAGACTAATTTGCCAAGAATTAAGTTATTTATACCAATATGGCACTTTAATTTGGAACTTCAGGGAAATCCAAGAACATACATACATTTGTACTAAGACACCTTTGACTTTCCTATGAGGCTAGTCTTGGGCTTTTCCACTAGATGATTTTTAGTTATATTTACAGGCCCACTTGCAAATTTTTTTCTGGGTGAACCCAACGGGTTAGTTCACTTCATACAGTTCTAATTCATCGCCATCTCGTCATTCACATAAAATTTTCACATGATACAGGTATTACAAAATAGAGCATACATTAGGAAAAATAAAAATTATAATTGTACCAAAGAGACACACAGTAAAAAAATTTAAAAAAACATATAAAATTTGAAAGACAAGTTGACACATCAAAAATACGAATGATAAAAGAACACAGCAGAAATGTGAAAAGTGTATTAAAATATGAAAACTTTTATCAAAAGTGTTGTTAACTAGCGAGTGCATCACATTTAATCTGATTCTTCACTGGAATGGAAAAGTACTGTGGATTCCGAGGCTGAAAGTTCTGTCCACTGGGATACACCCAATGTTTCTTGGCCCTGGTTGAAGATTCTTGGTGGGCTAGGAAGGGCAATATTCACAGCTTCGGATGTCTGCTTCTTTAGCTGATGAAACATATCATGGAGCCCCGCTTTTAGTTCCTAAAACACAGCACAATAAAGATGACTTATTATTTCCAACCTAGTATAGTTCTTATTGGCTATTCCTAGATTACTTACACTAGCACTTTTCTCCACTGAAATTTTGCCGTCAGATTCATCTTTTTCAGATTTTTCTTGAACAGGTGGCTCAACAGGGGTGGGTGAACTTTTGATAGTATCCTTTGAATTTTTTACAGCTCCATCCTTTGGCAAAGTCAACAATCCCTTTTGCCCATCTCGTTTTCCTGACTCATTGTCAGCCATGATGTCACTCATCAAGTGCCATGAGCTATAAAGGGACGAATTAACACTAGATGTTGGTGATGAACAGATAGGGCGGCTCCTGCTACCTTCTCCATCACCTAAATGGTTTCTGAACTCTTCCCTTCTTAGGAGTGCAGGTTCAAAAGTGCTATTAGCACTATCAATTGTATCATGCAATTGACTGAAAGCCTCTATTATATCACCAAAATTATTTGGAGAGCCCTTTCTTTGGGAGAGAGAGCGAATGTTGGATAACTGCTCTGCTACAAGTGTGTTTATATCCCTGATAACAAAAAATAATTCAAAGTTAACATAAATTAGTGCAAAAGGTTATTACTAGTGTTTATAGATGCAGACTTTGTGTTAAATCTACGGTTGTAAACTTACACTATTTCTTTTTTAAGCTTAGCAACTTCCAAATCCTTGTTTGACATAAAAATATTCATTTTGTCCTTGTAAAGCTGGCATAACTGAAGTTCTGTTTTCAAACGTTGGTTTTCTTGCAGAGTTTCCTCTAATTGCCTTTTTAAATTATTATTAGAATCCTGTATTTCACGCTGCTGGTTCAGTAATTTTTGTTTTAAATCTTTATGCTCCTGAAGTGTCAGTTCAGCTGCTTGTTGGACTCTAACCATTTCTTGTCTCAGATCAGCAGCATACATGGTTAACTGTTGATTTTTTCCCACAGCAGTTTCTAATTGTTGTGTCTTTATCTTCAAATCCCTTTAGAAACACACACAAAACAACAATAAAAAAAAAGAAAGACATTGACAAAATATGTAGTAATGAAAATACAAATGAAACATTTCAGACTTACTCTAACAACTGATTTTTTTGCAACCCAAGATTTTTACATGTTTCTTCCATCTGCCGGCATGTGTCCTCTAGTTGTTTGCATCCTTGTTCCAGCTGAGTCTGAACACTTTCAGCAGCATAATTAATTGAGGGGGATTGTTTGAACGAAGCTGACTGTTTGTCTTGGTGAACTAAAGGATTTAAACTTTGATTCTGCAACAAGATGAGAAAAAAGTAGAAAACAAAACAAAATACTTGGTGACAATTACAAATTTTTATACTGAGATAAATTGTTACCTCATGAAAACCAGTAATTTTTGTAATACGCGAAACTGTAGTCAACAGCCTATCAACAAGGTTTGGAGAGGCTTCATTGATTAAGTGACCTCGCTCCTGATGGTTAGGCTTGTTTCTTTCTTTGGAGGGGATCTGCTTGACTTCGCCTGGATCAGCAGAAATAGTTTTAGACCTTGGAGGAGCTACTTTAGCTGATGGAGCTGTTGGTGATGTTTGACACACGTCAAAAGACATAGTGCATAAGGTTTTTTCCATGTCTTCCACTATTCTTTGCATATTTTCATCACCTGTTCAAAACCAAAATTATTTCAAGTTTTACACTGAGAACATCATGAACTAAGAACATATCATATGGTAACTTCTTCATCAACCTCCCCACTCCACACCCACAAAAAAAAAAAAAAAGGAAACAAAGAGGGGAACCTTACAGTTTTTATGAACTTTGCCACGCAACTCTTTGACAAGAAAGTTCAAAGTGCGTAACGGATTGAATGAAGACAAGTAGTTTTCGCTCATATCTCCATTCTTTACACTACTTCCGAATCGGTAAGGAGATTTGTGAGTTGATCTTCCTTTCCCATGGGGGACGCTGGATGCCCAATTAGCCGATTCTTCACTAGATTGGTCTTCTTCACTGCTGGTATAGTGTAAAGTCAGACCTGCTTTGCCGTGGGCCACTTTGTTCCTAGAAGCACAAGGTACTTATTAAAAAATGCTAAACGGAAGTAGATAGACAACAAGTTATTATTGAATGTACCTATGCCGATGGCCAGCGGAGGAACTCTGATGCTGAAAAATATGGCCCCAAGAAGCATTCTTCTGAGTATTTTGAGAGGAGCAGTCTTTGTTGTTGGAGCTTTTGTTTCTACTGGCACTGTCTCTAGTCGGAATTTCATGGTTTGTTCGCCTGGCTTGAGCACTTCTTGATCTTTTCTTTGGTGATGTTGTTCTTACCACAACCTCAACAGTGGCATTTTTGTTTATTACTTCTTTACATATTATGTTTCTTTCGTTCACACTTAAACCTTTGCTGGAGGAATGTGATCTCCTTAGTTTCTGATTTTCACTTGAATGTTTTGTTAAACTTCTACTTATATGCGAAGTATTTGGCTGCCGGTAGGCTGATTTGACGTTTCTAGCAGCAGCAGTAGCAGCAGCGTTCTGGGACCGTCCAGTTTCTACGTTACTGTCATTCACCTTTATCACTCGGGACAGTTGCCTTTCACAATTCCCGATGTCTTTGTTAAGATCCTTAAGAGAATTCTGAATCCTGGCAACCTTCATTTTTTCAACGCATAGGACTGTCACGGACTCAATCAAGGTTAAGGTAAAAATAATTCACTTTAAATATTCGAATGTTTCTGCAGACTATTGTTGTGCCACTACATGCGACTAGCGGAGACAAAATCGGGTCTTTAAATAGCATTCCCGGCTCACAATAATGCATTTAAATTACTACACAAATACTATGAACTGATTATGGATTTATCTCTGTCGTTTGTGTTCGTTTTGCCGATCGTCTCTCCTCGAAATACTTTGTGTACTTTCCGGCTTTGCCAAGGGAAGTTTATTGTTGTGCGACGAGCAGTGGTCAGCCCTGGTGTGAGACCGTTCCGCCTCCTCGCTCGGCCACCAGAGAGCGCGAGTAGCGCCTCCCGCCATGCCATGGTGAGAGGGGCGGAGGGCGGTGCGGGAGGTTGTCGTAGTTGTGGAAGAGAGATGGTCAGAGCACGGGCGCGCTGGTGCAAAAGAGATAGAAAGCCTGTTACTCGATTCCGATTCCCTCCCCGATGACGTCCGCCGCGCAGGCGCACAGTCGGCCGAGGTTCAAAATAGCAGAAAGCCATGAAGAGTCTAAAAACGGCGGGAGTTGTGTTTCGGTCTTTGGCAAAGTAACTTCGAAAATTATTTGAACTTATAAAACGAGGAGGGGTGCAGACGCAAGTGCCTAAATTCCCGAAGTGTTTTTTTAAAAATCGGCAAACTTCTTTTCGAAAGTGAAAATTGTGTGTTGGAGTGCTTTTGAGTGAAAATGGCTCAACTCATCAGCGTGAAGCTCTCGCGGTACGACAACTCGCCATGGGGATTTCGCCTGCAAGGAGGAAAGGATTTTGGCACACCACTAATCATTCAAAAGGTAAGAGAGTGAGTGGCAGAGTGGCACGCACGACCCAGAATAATGTGTGAAGCATCTATGAGTTCGATTCGACCCGACACGGACTGTTTCAGTGGACAGACATTATTGTTCGAGTCGTGTTCTAAAGATTTTTGTAGTCGCGCTGCTCAACCAAGAGGGTCGAAGGGTACAGAATACTTTTCTCTAAACAGGGAGAAGGTGTTTTACTCCGCAAACATTTGGCTGCACGTTAAGTAGGCAGACGCGACAAACGCGCCATGTCGACCTCCTTACTAGTGGTTCAGCCTATGATACGTCTCACGCTGTACACATTTTTATGGTTGGGTACAAGAGGAGGCCCTGACGGTGGCGCGCCCAAACACTACTTCTGGAGGGTCGGGGCGCGACACGGCCGGGGCGCGCAGTGCTCGCGCGAGATTGCAGAATGGCTCTTTGACGACCACCGCTGTTCCGCGCTATTCGATAAGGGCGGGCTCTGCCCTGACCGTGTCGAGTCGAGGTCATCCCCCGCCGCCCCGCGGGACGGGCCGCCGACGGGGGTGGTTCCGACCGCGGGCGCGCATGTGTCAGGGGATCTTCGCGGGGGTGCCAAGCGGAAGGCGGGGAGGGGTGGTTGTGGAATGCGCCTTGCAGTTGCAGTGCGGGGG